CCAACAAAACCTCTATTTCTTGTCGCTTCTAGCTCTATAAGGTGACACTCCACTTGTCAATCCTTTTACTTCCTAGAACCTTCTTGCCCTTAGTAGAGGAAGTGTATACTTGAGTCTTTTCAGGCCACTAGAGACTCAAGTTTTTATTCAAAGGGGTTTATAAACAAGTAAGGGAAGGTAAAGGAGATATATGAAGACAAGCTTCAAATTATTTTAATGAAAGTGTAAAGACTTTATTAGCAAAGAAATATAAAACTTCTTGTGAACATCTTTTTTATATGTGGTCAGAGTATCAGCGAAAAGTGTTTTTTTTCTATAATACAATTACTTTAATAAAGCTATTTCTTTAAAAATAATATCATCTATTTTATTTATAATAATATATTAATAGTTTTCATTATCTTTTTTATCTATCTATCTATTAATGTAATTTTAAAAGATCAGTATATACAAAGTATTACTAGTGTTTTATCTATTTAAAAGATAAAAAAAAAACTATAAAATCAAATTTTGTCAATATATTTAAAAAGAATATTAATATTTCAAAATTTTTCAAAAAAAAAATTGTAAAAAAAAAATCTATATTTAATAAAAAGAAAGTTTTGATAATTATATATATATATTAATATAAAATATAGATTATCAAATTTTTTGAAGTAAATTTATTTCAATAAATTAATTATTTTGTAATTTATATAGAAAAAAAACTTTTGTTTAGATTTTATATTATTTTTTTTTATTTTTTTTTTATCTGTATTTAAAATTAGTATACAATTTAAAAGATTTTCACATAATAGTTTATCTATCTTAGAAGTTTAACTTCTCTAGATACAACTTAAGAAATGATATTTTGTTTTTTAATAACTTGGATTATTCTTTAACTATCAAGTTCATTACTTACAAATCATTACTATAAATCAACCAAAATTTTAAATAACAAGTCAAATATCTAATCACTTTTTTCCTTTTACTATTCATCTTTCAATAATCTCCTCAATGTTGATATCTTTGAATTGTTCTTTAGATAGGATTTTTTTTGATGAAGGACTATTTTCATACTTTGAATTTTTATGATATTACACTTTTTTTTCAGAATTCAGTATCATTTAGACTTTTTATCAATATCCAAAGTCTTTTTTTACTCAATTACTACTTTGTAACAGTCATTCTAGATCTTCTTTTTAAAATTCTTTCATATTTATTAATACAGTTTTTCTATGACTTTTTTTGTAATAAGTGAGTAACTTTATCTTGTAATATAACTTGAAAAGGTTTTTAATATCTTTTATTTTATCTTTACATATATATTTACATATTATTTTAAAAAAGTTTTGTTCCTATTACTGTATTTTATTGAGTTATACTTAAATTACTTGATGAATAGCTTCTTGATTCTCATCCTTGACCTTTATTTAATTGATAATATATTAAATCAACTTTTTATTCAGTTCTTTTCAGATGTCTAGTTATTTGAAGTTTATTGTCAAATATAAAAATAGATAATCATTTGTCTCTTTATAAGTTTCACACCTAATACAAGTAGTTATTTTATAAACTTTTGGTTTTCATTTTTTAAGAATTTATAATATAGTAAGCTTATCATAAGTAAAATTTATCAAAAAGTTTTTGTCTTTGTTGTTTTTTAAAAAATGTATAAAATGTATAATATATATTAAACTGACTTCAAAAGACTAGCTAATTTATCTCAGTTTTCTCTTTACTTTATTGATTTCAATTTCACTTTTGATTATTCCAATCAAGATCAATCTTTCTTTGATTTCATCCTTTAATAAACTTTCAGATACTAATATTAATAGTTAGACCTTTTTATATAGATATAGAGAAGACTACATTCATTTATGATATGCATTATCATATTAATGAATTTTCTTTTATAATTAATTTTACTAGTATATTTATCATATTGTTGAAATAATCTTCTTTATGTGTATAGACTTTTTTTAATATTAAAATAAGACTATTTTTCATAACCAGATTTTTTATCCTTGTCCAAAATAATCAGTTAGTTGTTTTGATTCTTTTTCTTAATGGCATAGGTAGTTGTAACTGTATAGTATTCCATATTTTAATAGCTATATTACAATTTATAAGATAGTGATATTCTTAAAATTAAACTTAAAAGTTTTTATACTTAAGATATGTTTGTTAGGTAAGATATAAATATTTAGTTATAATATTTATTATTTTGTTTTAATAAATATGCACAGTTGGCACCAAAAGTAATATCTGATTTTTATCAAAATAGAAATTTATTCAAATACGTAGTTTTTTTTTATTTTTTATTATGTATATACATAAAAAAATTTTTTTTCTAATTTAATTTTTTGTAGATCTCCCGTTTGCATCATATACTGCTTGAATTCATCACAGTATCAAATTAGTAATCTCTTTTAAAATAGATATATCAAATTCCGACCATGTTTTTTTAAAGCTATTTTGAGTTCATCTATAATACATGAAAAGTTTTCTTGTTTCTGAATATTATCCTTTAGTAATTTCCAAATATTCTCTATAGGATTGAGGTTAGGGGAATTGGCTGGTCAATTGATTATTTTTATTTTTTTTTCTTTGAACCACTTTTTGACGATTTTAGCTGTATATATCAGTGTGTTGTCCTGTTGAAACACTATATACTGACTTACTAATGAACATGTGGCATTATAAAATAGTATAAACTTATCTTCTAAAATTTTTAGAGAAGTTCGGTATTGATTTTTTTTTTTTTTTTTTTTTTATATTCATTACAGAATATTAATGGACCCTTTATCTACTTTACAAAACATCACAGACTATTAACAAATGTCAATCAATTTTGAAACTTGATATAAGACACTCAAAATCATATCTTTCACCTGCATGATGCCATACTTTAATTTGATGTGATTGTTTTTCAATTTTAATACTTGATTCATTAGTAAAAATTACACGTTGCCAATTGTAGATACTTTTAGTCTTGTTTTTTTCACATCAATTTATATGTACGGTTATGTTGATATCTAATATAAATGGCTTTTTTGCTATCACATATGAATAAATTCCAGCTTTATGTAAAACTCTAGCAACAGTTGCTAAATTGCAACTGAGTGAGTCCTAAATTGTTGATAATAATATGTAATAGGCTAAGACATTTTTTAATAGTTTCTTATACTAATACAATTTTTTCTTGTTTATTGAGAACTGATGGTCTGCTAGATCGAGGCAAATTTTTGATTTTTCCTGTTCTTTTGTGCTTGGCAAGAAATTGTCATATTGTTGTAAGGTCTTGTCTCATTTTTTGTGCTACTTTCTTTGCGCTCATATTTTCGATATAAGCTAAGATTTTTTAACTGATGACCTAAAAAATAAAAAAAAAAAGATTAGATCCCAAAAATGTCAAAAAAGGGGTAAACATAATATATTTATTTATCTATATGATTACATCTGAAAATTGTGTGTCATTTTCGGTGCTAACTGTACTTTATTTTCTTAAAGATTAATATAATAAACCATTATTTAGTTTGGTTGCAAGTAATAAATAAAAAAATATGTATATAATATATATATTTTTTTATAATCTTTTTTATTTTAATATAGTAAAGTTAAAAGATATTTTTTAAGTCTTTATATTTTGATAATTAAGTTAATTAAGTATATTGAATCCTTTTTTTAAATAATTTTTGAAAGAATATATAATGGTATATTTTATTGTTAAGAGAATGAATTATGTTTATATATTACTAGTTAAATAATTTATAATGGATCTCAAGTTTTTATAAATCAAAAAATAAAGAATAAGTTAAAATAAACAAAATTTTTCAAACCATGTTTGAAAATCTGTATATACTTCAAAGAATTATTTAAGTTTTTTTAGATTTTTTAGAAAATAGGATCTATGATTATGTAAATTTTTTAAAATTTTCTTTTTTTAATAAAAAAATCAAAAAAAAATTTTTTTTATATGTATGTTTTTTTTTTAAAGTATATTTCTTGTCATTGAGAGTTTAGATAATAAAGATCATTTACTTTTTTATTATTGTTATTAAAAATATTTGAAAGTAAATAGAAGAAAGCAAAAGAAAAAAATAAGGAGAAAGTGGAAATATGATTTATTTATTTCATAAATTGCTTGAAGAAAAATAAAGTAATTTTGTTAAGACAGAAATATAATATTTTTGTTGAATACTATTTTTGAGTGTGTCATTGAAATTAAGATTAAGATAAGGTATATTAAAATATTATCTATTTTATTAAATATATTTTGGTTTCTTTGAGTATATGTGGATTTACTGTATTTTTTCAAATTTTTTATATCTATAAAATTCTGCTCTTTTAAAAAATCGAATAAATTAATTTTTTAACTCCAATAATTATTTAACCAAACAGAATACTGTATTTATTATTATATTAAATTGAACTATTTTAAACATATCTAAAAAAACAAGGAATAATAAAAAATTACAATAAATTAAAAAAAAACTTTCGTATCGATAAATCTTGGTTTGATTAAAAAAAAATAAATAAATAAGAAATTTAAATAAAATTCGTTTGACATTAATGATTAAATTAATAACTGCGTATTATAAAGAATTAATATTATTAAGAATTAGATGACGTACAGTAATACAAAAATTTATGTATACATTTTATGATCCAAGAATTTTTTTAATAATTGGAAGTACACGAGAGGTTCAGTTAAAAAGAGATACTATCATAAGAATGCCGATCTAAACGAAAAACAAGAAATAAACCCTTTTTGTGATTAGCAAGGTTAAATAAAAGATTTGATTCTTTTTTTTTGAATTTTTTTTATTAAACTTAATTGTTTGGGAAATTTACGTACAATACGTTAGAGACAAAGTCGCCTTTAGTAGAGCATACATTAATAGTCGTCTTTTGACAGTCTCATGCTTTTTTATTTTCCAATTGAGATCGTTTAAAGAAATGACTTATCCTAGCGCTTAAAACTTTTCATAAATTATAGAAATTCTTGACTCGTAAATTTAACACAACATTTGTTGAACCGTCATTCCACGTCTAGGAGATTCTTCCTCATGATCTGATTCATGGGAATCTGATTCCTGAGAGGGTTCCCACATCTGAGTCGGTGATGTCTGTGTCTCTGAATCTTTGGTGGTTGTTTGTTTTCCGGAATCTTCGTTCATTGATGACTCAGAGTTTGACAACATCAACAAAGCCTTTGCGTCCTCGTGATCATGCGATATAGGTGAAGATGATGACGTGACGGCTTTCGTCGTAGCATCTGTGGAAGTTGCGTCATCATCATCGGACTTGACTTCTTTTTCAGAGTCGTCAACATTTTCACTAGTCTTCTCTTGGTCAGGAGAAGATGGTGAAGAGGATGAAGTCGAACCCTTTTTGTGTCTATACTCTTCGCGATCGTCAAAAGAGTCAAACTTTCTTGAATTTGGCGGTAGAATATCGTAGCGATCGAATTTAGAACGTTTAACGAGTCTACCATCCTCCGATGACCTACCATCGTCCTTACCATCTCTCTCCCTTTGCCTGGAAGCTGCGACTATACCCTGCAAGTATTGAATATATTCTATGGCACTTTGAAGGATACTTAGTTTGTGTAAATGATCTTGATCGGCACAGCTTGGGATTAATTCTTTTAATTGTAATATCTTGTCATTAATACGTTCACGACGTCTCCTCTCAATAGCCGAATGAGAAACCTTACGCGCTAGTTCACGTTGATCGGCTGTGGTAAGAGGTTTGTCCGAAGAGGCCGAACGATAGTTATGGTGATGTGGTACGAGAGGATGAATAATGGATGTATGATATTGCATTGCTGGTCGAGTACCGTTTTGGGTTGATGTGCTTCCTGAAGATTGATTTAAAGTTATTGGGAGGACGGAGGTAGAAGGTCCAGTCTGTTTTGGCAGAATGCGCTCATATCTAGATTGTGAGGATTGTGAAGGTTGCTGCGCTCGTGGTGCGGATACACAATTTTGTTGTTGAGACATAATAGCCGTTGGGGAAACAGGAAGCATCATGTGTTGAGAACCAGGCATTGCTAAGGGTGTCAAAGGCTGCAGAGGAGGCGGAAGCTTAAATTGCCCTGCATAATCATTATGCATTGGATGAGAGAAAGGCGATACGGGCGGCGTTTCGAAAGGTAAACTAATAACGCTTTGTTGAGGATTAGGATGAGCCGGGGGAGAATGGTGAGGGGATGGATGAGTCGAAGGAGAATGGTGAGGAGATATTGGGACAAAGGCTTGTGATGTTGGGGGAGCCGGAACAATTGGTCGATACCCTGATGGTTGTTGCTGCATTGCGATCGTAAAAAAATAAGGAAAAAATTTTTTTAAAGATCAAATAAAAAAAAAAAAGGTAAAGGGAACAGTAAATGTGATTGATTGAAGTTGCTTTTCAAAAAAGTGTAAAATCAATTCTGTCCTTTGATGATTACTCGCAAGGGATCAGATAATTTTGGGGAATGGAGTGGCTTTTTGTTGATGCAAATAGAAAAAAAAAAAAAAAAAGCGAGAAGTAGAATCGAAAAAAAAAATGAAATTAAAAAAATGCTCCCTTGTGTTTCTATAAAAAATGACGATTGGATAATGTGATGGTTATTATCTTAGCCATTTTTGGACCACGTGTCAAACTTACAGCAAAGTATTGGTCAATGCACAGAAGGAAAATTGTGCATTTGTACATACAATAAGTAATGTCTGCTGATTCCGCTTTATGGAAATCGTGTGGATGCATGTGAGATGTGTAAATATTCCAATAGGCCACTCTGTCGCTGTCACACCGTCACCTGACTTATTTTTTATAATCCGGATCAAGTAATTATTTGATCTTATCTATGTTGTGACCCCAGATGAGTTTTTTGGCAAAGAGCCGATCAAAAAGCCAATGCAAATTGAAAATAATCCCTGTAAGGGAATAATATCGCATCTCGGAGTTTATCACTTTTGTACCCAAACTTTGCGCCATAATAACACGTTTAAAAATATTAAAAATTCATGCAAAAAAAAAAATTATTAATTCGACGTATTTAAATAAGTCGCTCCCTACAACGTAATCCTTTTATGACACAATAACAACAAACAATTATTAATTATTTATTCATGATATCATAAACCTTCCACTTAAGTCTAGTTCGGATTGATAAAATATAAAATCAAAACTGGTGAATTTATTTTTTTACGTCTAAATTCGAATTAAATCCGGTTTTAAAATTACAAAAAGAAATTTAATTAGTTTAAATTGATACTGTCAGAATCTTTGTGGATTTTTTTTTTTTGCCTGATAGAGACTCGTGCAAAAATCATGCTCTCTACTGGTGTCCGAAGATTAAAAAAATTATAAATATTATACTCACGTGATGTTTGATTGTGAGATGGCACGTGTTCAACCAAAATTTATATTAAAATTATTCTTGTTATATATAATTTGTTATTATTATAGAAGAATTATTAATTTCTTATTAGATTGATATAGCTTATTTTATTTATTTTTTAAAATAAAGGTTTAAATATATTTATTGATTTTTCTAAAGTAATTACAAAGATTATTACTATAATTTCTACATTCTTTATAACATTAAACTTCCTAAAATTTGAATTTATAATAATTTGTTAATTAGAAATATTCAATCAAATTAAATTTCTACTATTATCTATCTAAAAAACCAAATATCTCTTATTTAAATCTTAATTTTTTTAAAATTTTTAACTTTATTTATTATTAATTTGATTTACTAGTTTCTTAAAAAAAGAGATATTTTTTATATAAATTTATTAATTATAATTTGTTATTAATTTTTTTTTTTTTTTTTTTTGCCCTCTGTCAGGCTAGTTACGTATGCTTTATTAAACATTTGTAAGCTGTACATATA